TGTTTCTCAGATTTTCATTCAGATTTGCGGGCAAAATTTTATTGGTCAATATTTTCTGAGCCAAAGGGCAAAATATGCATGACCTCTATCGATTGGATTGGATTGGATTGAAACGCAAGGAAACGTGCGAGAGATTTAAAGTTACAATGGAATGGATGTTGAATGACATCAGTATAATAAGCGAAAACCTCATCATCACAAATTGTGATTCGGTTATTTGTTTATTGTTTTGTTTGGTTGAATGAGATGATTCATTCCAATTGTCTATCAACACATGCAAAATATGCATGAAAATAGCATTATGACGATGAAATGATAAGGAAGAATTAGTTAAATAAGTTATCAACACATACATAGATGCTGTGCGCACATAATTTACCGCAAACCATTCGTTGGCATATGCAGATAGGGCAAACCAATCTTTCACCAAGAGTCACACTGTGTGAGATGTGTTATATATGATATGAAAAGCAAACTGGAGATATGCTGCGGTTCCAATTTTCCAATGAGAATGTTATCAAACGTCAAACGACGACCGCATACTAATAATAAATTCAAGCAATCATTGCTGCATGTTGTAACCGATATGTTCAAGAGTTTTGCATATGCAGTAAGAGTACGATTTTGTGTATGTTGAAATATCAAGAGATAAGACCAATTTCATTGCGACGAAAGACTTGTGAGAGGATTTGTCGGTATTAACCTTTCGAGAAACAATGTGCTCGCGAACAGTTCGTAAAGGGTAAAGTCAAATATTTTTTTTCTTTAAAGAAATGTGATTTCAAATTGAAGATTTACAAAATGCTTTTGTCTTAACTACTGATAATCATTCGAAAGGTCATTCAATGACACTCTTTTGAATGATAAATATTTCCATAGGCAATAGTAGCTAGACTTTGAATATAAATTAATCTTTGAGATTTATCAGGTAAAGGTTAATTAGCTCAGATCATTGTGCACATATTATTGTTTCTACCACACATTGCCTGTTTTCGATGGTTGATTTATTATTATACATTAAAATCAAACAAAAAGAAACCTTGGGGAAAATAAACTGACAATGGTTAAGAATTTACACTTGACGCATACGCGAATGCAACGCAGTCTTACTCTGATTGTTCGCATACAATGGAGCCGAATGAACCAATTTTTCTGCTTGATTGCAGATGCAGCAATAAGATTTATGACACAATTCAGCTGCAACGAAAGTTTACATTGAAAAGTGAACTTCCATTCAAACGTTGTCCGACTACAGAAACAAAAATGAAATAGAAACTGAGCGGTGAACCAAATCGACGAGATGAAAAAAATGGCTAATATAGTCTGCATCAAAGTCAACGGTCGAATGGAAATTGCACTTTGTTTGTATTTTATCATAATGAAAACGCTGCAATTGAATTACAGACATGTCAAATGCCAATTTCACACAGACGAGAACAAAACAAACCAAAGATACACTCTAATCCTTTTCATTTTGTTTTTTTTTTCTATTCACTTGTTATACAAAGCAATACAGTGTTTTTCATCGTTTGTCGGCATACATTTACACGGCACAAGTGGTCGGCAACTCACAGTGATATTGCGATTGGTTTTGCACAGAAAAAATGACACAAGTACGAGCACAATTTATGGAGCGTTTGTTTTTGCTGCGCCATTCATTGAAATATTGAATTCTGCATTTTGGAATGTTTTCATTTCGAACAGTCACCGGATAAAACATGCGTTTTTCTGTATTTCGTTTTATTCTGAGCGCTTGCCAATGTTTTTCGCATAAATTTGCCACAATTACGAACATCGAGATAAATGAAATGTTGGCCAATGCAACGATATACAGATAGTCTCTATATCGATTTAGGAATGGTTTTTTAGCTGCTGTATTTTTATTTTCTTGCTTTGATTCGAATTCGAATTCGAATGGAACAAAAGCAAACAGACCAATAGAGAGACAGCCGGCTCTAATTGAGAAAGTTTTTCCTAATGATTTTGTTTGTTCTAGCTGTTTGCAACTGCCGGTTCCGCTTCACTGCAATGCCTGCCTTCGTTTCTGTTATCGAAGAATCATTGGCAGCAAAAATGCATATAATTTCAATGAATGCCACGGACAAAAAGTTTTACGAATTATGCCATATGATGGAAAGTATAGTCATTCGAGTTTTTCGATATCAATTAATTTGAATCGTCCCGTAAATTCACTCAGTCAATGTGTGTGTGTAGCTACGGCGATGTTTGCCATTTCGATGGCATTCACCCTCGACTATTCATTGATGCCAGATGATGCGGAATACATGATTTTTATCACAATTACAGACGATAACCAACTGTCATTTGCAGCGGAACGAAGGCGTTTCGTTTCCAATTTCTTGATTCAAGGCTAATAACAGTTTTGCGATAATTTTATCGCAATGTTCTGAGAATCCAATGATTTAAAATCTAGGGGCAAACCACGGAATTTTTTTTTTAAATCTGTTTTTATCGCCCAATTCTAATGACATCCGTAAAAAATTGAAAAAATTGAGAAAAAACTGTATATATTGAATTTTATCGTTTAATATCGACTATAAACGTTTGATGTGCTGACGTCATTACCGATTCAAAAATGCTGGAAGTGGGTTTTGGTGGATCCTCAGGATCGTTTAGTACTGCTCCCGGTTCTGGAAGTGGATCCACAGGATGGGCCAGGGCATTGTCAAACCCAGTCTGGCCCATCCTGAAGATCCACCAAAACCCACTTCCAGAATCGGGAGCAGTTCTGAACGATCCTGAGGATGCAAAAAAACCCGCTTCTAGAACAGTATGCATTCGTTAAAGCGAAAAAATTACTGCAAAAATCGGGCAAAATCGACCAAAATGTGATCATATCGGAATTTATTTGTTTAAATGATAAAAAATGTTAAAGTCGGTCATTATTGGTTATTTTTAAAACCGTGGTTAGCCCCTAGTTTAAAATATAAAAATTCCATCTAAATCGATTATTTCAGTAAAATAGTTTAATAGACATTAGACAAGAACTTCAGTATCTGTAGAAAAATTCACATTATTCTAAGGAATTTTAATTGTCCTCATAAAAATGATGTCATGGCGTGTTTCTTCAACGTACAGTTTATTGCCAAGAATGAAAAAATAAAAGCGTATCTATTCAGCTATGGAACAATATCCGATGCGAATTAAATCATATCGTAACTGAATGAAAATATAAAAATAATGGAATCAAAGAGAAAATCCTACGTGAATAAGGAGAAAAAAATGCTATTTATTTGACAACTCATACCGTAATCCATGGAATTTAATTTAGTTGGCTATTTATTAATCCGAAATGTTATTGATTTCAATTCGATAATATCCTTTTATATCTATTTTGTGTCTTTTCAGTGTGAAACCATTTGAACTGAGTGTCGAGAAATTGGAAGTGAAGTAGTAAATGCCGGAGAGATGTTATAAAGAAAGCAGCGTCACCATCTCTCGTGTACACTCGATATTATTTTATACATTGTACGAGCCAATTTTGGAGTAAGCAACTGATATTCTGTGCTAGAATTTTACCTTCGGCGAAACAATATTCATTCGACGTTAAGAAAATAGATGAAAAGCGAGACTACAAAGCGAGTTGGTTGTGAACAGAAGTGACTGCATCAAGCATAAGTTGGATTGAACGAATGTGCAAAAATAGTCTTGATTGCATCATTTATGAAGTGAAGAGAAATCCGATGACACAAAGAAGTACAACAAACATCTTAAGAGCTTAAGCACAACAGCAGGCAGAATAAAAACAATTCCACATATCCTTTCGATATTTACAGTTGCTTCGCTCAGTGGTAGGAGTGATTCAGTGTCATATCTATTGTAGCGTAAAAGTATTTTCGTCTATAGAATCGTACAGCTTCTTTCGGCTTTGTATTTCAATGCAAGTGAAAATCATTTGTCTCTAGTGTGAGTGAATTAAGACGATAAGTTTCATCAGGTAGAATAAGAAGTCAGAGGAGACCAAGAAGCGAAAGAGCGAAGTCAGTGAAAGGACAAAATTGATAAGTTTATGTTTTGTACGGTGTGATAAGCGTCGAAATTGAAACTCATTTCCACACCCAAAAAGTAACGTCTGATAAATTGCTACAGCATTGAAATTCAACTCTCATTCCCGAACGCGATTATTTTATCTGACGCCGTTAAATATTGCCGTGTCATTGTCTCGTAACAGTTGCAGTGCTTCTGCGTGAGGTTCATCCGAGATTTTTTAAATCGGTAATTAGCTAGTGTATTTGTGAGTCTGTGTGTTTGTCAAAGGACGCGGAAATAAGAGAGCCGACAAGATTTCAACCATGGAAACAGACGAAGTAATAAAGTTGGTAGACAACATCTATAAGGTAAGTTCTTATATTCAGTCGATATTCTTTTGTTAAGCGACAAATTGGAAACCACCAAAACACGACTCCATTCCACAGACAAGCGCACGGCATGGGCATGGCCACACTCGCTCAGCAATATAATGGAAACGCTTCCGGTGAATAATTTATAAACGTTTCACCGAAAGATGCTGGGCGACGTTTGCGCTGCGCACATGAAAGAAAGTGGTGCACGCTAAGCGGCTATTTCGTAAAATTATTCATTCCAGTTTTCGGTTCATTTCTCAAAGTCAACACTATAAATCAGTAGCACACTTTCCTATTAAAATCCAGTGCCGGTTCACTTTCTCCGAGCTCTCATTGGCGATACATCAAACAGTGTTGCCACGAAAAATCAACACTGAATTCAAAATTCAAAGGTGCTTTTAGTGCAGAATTATTTTATCTACATTTATTTTTCACCGTTTGAAGAAGCTCGGCGAGGCGTGGCATGAGGAAATGAAATGATTTTTATTAAATTTCAATAGAGATAAAAGAAAAATTTTCTTCCCATGAAAAATTCAATAAACAGCTGCAGATTTGTCATCGATGTGTTTTTTTTACTTTTAAGCACCTTGTACGGATTTAAGGGAAAATGGATTTAAGGGAAAATATTTTCCGAAAGACCAAATAAACGAATGAACTATGGAGCGCCTTTGTTCGGTTTCGTGATTGAACTTCAAGGGAGAGCGAAATCAAAAATTCAAATGTGCATTTCGAATTTTCGAATCTTTTGCTGCATTTATAAATGTGGATTGTGTTGATAAAATACAAACACAAAGTGCCTCTTCCTTCAAGTGTTGAAGCAGCTATTATTTTTCAGCGTTGGCATTCGATTTACACCCAGCTACATGTGTATAAACGACTGTCTGGATCGGTCTAAATGAGAGTTAAAAACAACGGCAAACAAACTCACAATATAAATCCAATTAAAACGAATACACACACTTGCACACAATGAAACGACCCCTGCTTTGAGCTGCTGCACAGCCATCGAACAAGCGAACGAATGAACGTTCCAACCAACGAACGAGTTGATAATAATGAACTATCCTCGTTGTAATAACAAGCTAATGAAATGGCGTTGGATTTAACAATGGAGCAAACTGGTATGTTCGTTGTTTGGATCAGGGGGGAAAGAGTGAAAAATGCAAATCGATGGTTGCTTTTTGCGACCACATGGATCTAATGTAATTTATGAATAGAACGAACGAATACCGGGGGATGATTCCTCTCTCTCTCTCTTTCTATGTTTCCCTCTGTTTGATATAACAATGTTAGCATTGAACACCCCTTCAACATTTTGTGCAACTCGAGCAACTTATTCTCAATTCATATTCCAACATTTGCATATTTTCGAGGATCGAGGTGTGTATGTTTACTAATTTGGTAATATTTTATCGATGTTTCTATGATGTCGACCGGCGAAGAAGTGTCAGGTGGTTTTTCATCTTTTGCCGACAATTTTGAATAAAGCCACAAAATGCACACGTATTATTTAGAATAGAAGAGCACTGATTCTGATCAGGGAGACGGGCGAACAAATTACGTGTCGTGAGCGTGTGGTAAAAATGCCACTTTGTTGTTTGATAAACAACATCCAGAGCAGAAGCCACCGTTGAAATCCGTTGGTTTCGGTTGTCATGCACGACATGTTAGTGCAAAAAGTTCTAGTCTCAATATTTATTTTTATCACATTTTGTTTTTATTTGTGCTCCTTTTTGTGGTGAGGTTATTTTTGATCTCCTGGCAATTGTTTTGGATTTTATATTTTCGATGAGACAAAAATGAAGCAAAACAACACTCGAGGTGCTGAAAACTTATTAATGCGAAAGCTAATACCACCCCTTTTTTTCTCTCGTTCAGCACCATGAAATGAAAATCTAATTTAAGGATCAGTTTTATCCATGGCATGTATTCAAAAAAAAGTTGAAATTGAAAATCTAACGGCATCGAGGATTTTCCACCGGCTTTATTCACCTGAGCTGCCATGATGTACAATCGCATTATACTGCAACAACCATTTAATCCGCAACGTAAAACTGCACACCAGCGAGTCGTACAAGTGCAGTAAACAATGTATAATCTAAATGGTGCAAAAAACGGATATAGGGATTTTTTGCATCGTATTTTTTGCAAGTGCTGGTCAACACCGCAACACAACAACGGATAATAGAATTGCCATTGGTTGGGTGACGACACCATTTTTAATCCCTCACGACCTCTCGCGTGCAATTTCAATTGAGTCGCCATGACTTATTATAACAATGCACTCAATTTCGTAGTTAACTCGTTCCAACATTCATTAGATTACGTATGAAAGGGGTGCAATTTTGATGTTTCATGGGGATAAATAAATAATAAAGAACAGAACTCGATGCAGAGTTTTCTTCTGATGAAGCGGAAAAAAATCAGATTGAAGTACTTTCTTTTAGCCTTGTATTCGAACAGAAAAACAATATCTTTTTTCTATTCATTTAAAATATTTTTTCTATGCCGATGGGTATGCCATATGATGGAAGAGAAATGATGATGGCTTGCTGACGTCGACCTCTGTAAGTCTATCAAACTTTTTTTATTCGTTATTGGGTACGAGGTATTATCTCGTGTAACCACTCTTTGATCCGATGCTTTGGTGTGCAAGAAAAACCTATAAAAGATTGCAAAATCATTGAAGGCGTTCCAATTGGGTAAACGAAAACGACACTAATTGAACCAGGTCCACTCTATTACTGGCGAAACAAGCCCATCAACCTACGAAGAAATGTACTTTTTTGCTTGAGCGTGATCTGAATAACCAGATGTTTCGAATTCAAATCGGGACTCATCACGTGCTCAAGTGAACTGACTCAGCTGAAACCAAAACGCGAATAGATTTTCGGTTTTTACCTAACCTAAAACAAACCAAAAAATTAAATGGTCCAACAAGATCACAATACGCTTGAGCTCGTTTGTATTTCGATGAACTTTGGGAGTTATCAAAACTTTTTTTGTGTGTTCTGTGTAGGTGAATCAGCGCCCATCAAGTCGTCTGTCGTTTGTTTGTTTTTGAGAAAAAAGTTGACGGAAATTAATGGTATTGGGTGACATATCTCTAACGTGCCAGCTTATTTACTCCCCTTCGCACCGAAACCAAATGTGATGATGGAAAAAAGTCAGCCTACCTCCTATCTCAACAGAACATGCCATTGTAAAGCAAATCATCTATGACGAGTTTTTCCTCTTTTCTTTTCTCTCTGGCATAAAGTCTCGATTCTACTGATGTTTTTTGCTGTTCACAGCTAATAAATAACGGAAAAGTTTCCAAGTTTTTCCATTGGTCTATCAAATTTTTGCCAAATACTTTTCTTCGGTATTTTTCTATTTCTATCGAGTTTTGTTGAGAATTTCTGTCTTTAATTTTAGGCTCCATTGATTGAAATTCATTGAACGTAAAAGAATATGATATCAAACGAATGACGAGTCGCAATAGGAATAATGAATCCATCCTTCAAAAATGTTCGTTTCGGTCTGATCAAATACTGTCAAAATAATTAACCGTAATTTTCATGTCCCATCTGTCTTTGGATGGTTAAAGACAGATGATTTGCGACGAATACCATCAAAATTCCATTTGACCGCCAAAAGAGAAAGATGTATAAAAAATATGGATTAATTGTAATGATATTGGCAAAGTTTCTCGCAAAGTTTCTCGCAAAGTTTCTCACAGATTGAAAATTAATTTTCTGTCATTGAATCTATTTTTCTTTTTTTATTATTACTTGTGTAAGCCAATGAGTAAATTGTCAAGTTCATTTTGTTCTGCTCCACCAAACTTGAATATTGAAGAATTTGACACAATGAATAATGCCAGAATGGCGATGTGTGCCTTTTTGATTTACGTCTACGTTGAAAAGTTAGTTCATAGCGTTGGTAGAATTAAATCTGATACCAGTGTACTGTACACAGCATATATTATACATATGTATATATGTTAGGCTGGATTTGGAGGAGGGAGCATTCCCAAAAGTATAGAGTCATAATAAATGACTGAGGCGCGTGATAAAAACATTTTGGAAACTATTTGACGGCGAAAATTTCGCCCAGAACCGAATGAAAGTATTCAGAAAAGCGGCATCGCTGTGCACACATGCGAGTCTAAAAGATGAAAAATGGTCGAAAGAGTCACGACAGCGTTGATGCCAATGTAGTATTTATGTGCGCTTAAAGCGAAAAAAATGCAAATAATTCGTTTTCCGTTCAATTTTTTTGACTTGGCTTCACACTTTACGCTGCCACGAGTGAAATTCGAATCGGAGATGACAAAAAACCAGCAGCGCTCGTGCTCCAGCCAGTAAATAAACGAAAATTATCTGTCTAATAAATATCCGTGTTGTGCGTGCGTGTATGAGTGGGTCGAGAAGACTCACACGCGGAAGTCATTGCTGGTGAAGTGTCTTTTTCGGCTCTATCTGTGTGCATCAGTTGATGAAATGTTTGCGATTCATCGCAGCACGTTGGATATCAACCTCGGTGATAGTGATGCGCGGTGTGCGGATTTTATCTCAACATTCATCGTCGCTTTCCATTTTTCACATACACAAGGCTATTCTGTGTTATCAAGGGCATCGTTCTATTTTGTTGAATGCCATTCTGCATGCACATAAACTTTATATGATAGGCAACGATTTTATGGCTCAGCCATAACACTGCACGGGCTATATAGCATGCAAATGGCAAATACCGACCCGTAGCATGGGATGGAATCTTTGGTTGCATGCTTGCCGCCAGCAGCCGAAAATTCGTTTACTACACTCTTATTACCGGTTATGTACTCCGCCTTACGCTTATGCAACGCACCGCTAGATATTCCAAAAAATGGAGGAAAAAATGCATATCGCGAAAATATTTGAAGAATTTTAGTCCGAAGTAGTCGAGTGAAAGGCCCAACGTGTTACCCGTATTATTATTACATCGAGCGATATTTTAGCATGTTACATGAGTCTAGATTTACGGGATTCTGATTCGAAAGTGCTAACAAATTGATTTTGTAAGTGTTTGAGACTAGATACATTATAATTTACGATCGAATTGGCACGTGTTGAATGCAAACTCTTTCAAAGATGGGAGCCATTCACACAAAACTCTCTTCGCATCAAGTGTGGCAACGCGAGCATACATGGGCCTTAAACACAAGTAGTTGTTTGAAATGTGATATTTTCGCTCGATACACCATCAAAACAACAAATTTTACAAAATTAGGAGAATGCAAAATGGTAGTCGAAAACAGCCTTGGCAACTTGTTTAGTAGTCTAATTAATTGCACACCTTCGCTGCTGGTGTCACAAGATTAAATTGTACGTTTGGGCGCGACAGCAAATACTTTAACAAGTTGCAATTAAATTTACCAGGAGTTTAGCTAAATAAATAATTTATTCAAGTGTAAAAGATATTTTATACAAAATCCGCTACAGTTGAATGAACCACACCGTTTGATTTTGTTCGCGCCCATCGCAAATGTATCGCTCAGCCGCATTCCATGCTCGTAATTATTCACAGCCAATCCAAGTGGCTAGATTCTTGAATCGGTGATGACGCTTGATTAGCATTTTCGAATGGTATTTCAATCAGCGGCAGCATTTAAAATGAAAGGGTGAAAGACTATATCCACATCGGCGTGAGGCATTTTCCTAAGAAACTGGTTTAAAATATATGCAAAAATCGACAAACATCATATTATATACATAGTTGATAATTCACATAATAAATTATGCAAAGCGTTCTCGCCAAATTACTAATCGCCTTATGAATATGTGTTTCGAAAATAGATTGTAGATCAAAGTTTGGGATGCTTTCAGACACATTTATTCTTTTTTTTCTCTCCATAGAGAAATTGAATTCTCACTGAAACATGTTATATTGAATGGTAGAGCCAATCATCACGCACATTGACCGAATACCATCAATTGAATGATCTACAAAACACAAATCTAACCGCATACATATTAATTATTTAATATCCAGAGCTAAAGGCAAAGTGGACCTGATTTGAGAACCTCATTTATTGCATGTGACCGCAGTATAACAATACACATATCACATAAATGCCAGTCAAAAACCAATTCTAGTGGCTCTTTGTGTCTTTTGATGTGACAGCCAATTCATTGCCTATACACTCAAATATTTAATTCTAATTGTTGAATGCTGAAAGTCAAAGATCGAAAGATTTTCACTCCAGTTTGGTGTGCGCCTGAATAAATTATGTCAGGCGAAAATTGAATGGCATTTCCATTTCGATATTTGTTTTCCTTGAATGCAAACAATGGAACGCCTCACAAACAAATAACAACGAGATTTTACTCAATTCGGTTGTTTTACTGGCAAATAAATAGTTGTCATCGCATTCATTTGGTACGAGCAAAGCAAAAGTAAGCAAATCACATTCGTGCGACTAAACTCTCTCTTCCTATCTCTCACTATCTCCTGCTTGCTTTGCATTTTCATCGTTCTGTCAACTTCTTCTTTCTTAAATGTTCATTATGATTTGTATGCATCGCTTAGCAGCCGCACATTAAAATGCAAATGGAATTCTATTCAAGCGTTTATTTGGCGCTTTTGTCTATTTGCTTGGTTTAACGACGTTCCTAAATTCGAAAGGTATTTGCTCCAAAATCGGATGCTTGATAAAGCAGCAAACGAATTGCCTTTTATTCTTGTGTGTTTGTGTGCCAGTCGTGCTCTTTATCTCCACTTGTTTCAATGCAAATGGGTTGAAATATCTATTGACATGATCTACATTTCCGCGGCGAAAAGTGACAACATTTACGGTACTTTAAGTATTTTAACATAAAAAAATGGATGGAAATCACTTCAAATCATGTAATTCGATGCCAAAGTGGATCCCAACGGATTTTGTGACATGGGGTCGATTTAAACACAAGTTTAATGACTTTTTCGACTAGTTCTTCTCGCTGCATTCGTTTTCTTGCATTTTGATTTGGTTTATCTACACTATTCCGACCGAACCACTAAGCACGAACAATAGCAACAACATATACAAATTGAAAAGGTTGCAGTGGCATACATGATTGATTGAGTAATTGTGCGGCTGTGATTTATGCGTTCTATGTAAATCGAAACGATTTTTCATGTCATCGAGTACTACCTTCACGAACGTGAGTACAAAAGTGTGATTTATCATGAATAAAGCCGCAAAACAGACATTATTAGAACTTGTGGTTGCTATGTGAACCAGAGCGTTTAAACATCTTATTATCGTATTGTTTGATTGTAGCGCTTTCGATTTCTCATCAGTTTCGGAATCGCTTCACTATTAGAAACTGGACAGATATGTAATTGATTGGTTTTACTGAAATTTTCATTTAACCCACCCGCATTTAGCGAACGTAATCAATCAAAGGTATAATCCCTCGATAGTATCTGAAATATAGCCGTAATTGAACGGCAAAAAACCAATGCCATAATTATTTTGACTCTTTGAACAATGCGTCTGAAGCAGAGATTACTATGGGATATTTTTATTCAGATCATCTGAATCAGATGGTATAAAAATATC